TATGTATGTATGTCTGTATGATAGTAGATATGAACTGGTGTGGAAGTATATTTGTGTTGAATGCCCATTGGAATTGTTTATTTTGAATATATTGAAAGGAAAGTGCTTCCAACCTAACGACTTTGTTAATAAACATGTGATTATATAGCCAACATCTGATTAGAGAGTAGTCAAGTATTGGTTGGGAAAGAGATGAGCCAAGTTCTCTTTTATGGAGATGTCAATGTTGTTGGCTTTCTATTCTTTTTGTCTCTTTGAACATCATAGCATGAGATATAATACTCACATAGTGCATTCTCAAAATTCCTTTACTATTCATATATAAAGCTCTGCAAACCATTATTCCTTTCATTTTTTTAATTTGATAATTTAGGTTTAATTTTATTTAGCCACTTTTGGCTGTGTAGGAGGACCGAGAAAACATATTAAGAGCGAGAACCTCCGCAAAGGGTGTCCTCACATCTCCTTTCAAGCTTTTGAAATCCAACCATCTTGGGGTCGTTCTCACATTTGCTGTATATAATAAAGACCTTCCATCAACAGCCACACCTGAAGAGCGCATTCAAGCCACCCAAGGGTAGATCATTGAACCAAATAAATATTATATTCCCCTTCTACTGATATGTCACTGGATTACAATGAGGCAAAATATGCCATATGTCACTGGATTACAATGAGGCAAAATATACCATAATCCAAGGGTGTAAGGGGCATTATATACAGAGGCTTCCAACTGTTTGATCTTGATGATGCGTTTTGGAGATTAATTGAAAGTGATTGTATATTCTAGCTTGCTCGACTATGATTAATCTTCATCATCTATCATCAGGAATGAACGACCATGCCCATTTACCTTATTCTATTAGATTATGATATGATTTCCTTTACACTAAATCTCACTGCTTTAATTCTCATATGAGTTGGCTTCTTTTGAAATAGGTATTTGGGCGCGTCTTTTGATGTCCCTTCTTTGGTTGACAAGCTTCTCCAACAACTTGCTAGTAAACAAACAATCGTTGTAAATGTTTATGATACGACAAATGCTTCTGCCCCAATAAATATGTATGGTCCTAATGTAACGGATACTGGGTTATTCCATTTTAGCAACCTTGATTTTGGAGACCCATTCAGGAAGCATGAGATGCACTGCAGGTAGCTTAATCACTGAGAACTTATACAATACGTCTGTATGCCATTGGGCTTTGGCCAACTATAGATCATTAGGGCTATCACCATCCAATCAAATGATGGAAGATGGCGAAGAGGGTGGAACATGCCAAAGTGGGATATGACTCCAATGTTGGTTCTACTCACTCCCCGTCGCCACCCATTATTTCATTGGAGGGTAATGAACCCATTTCGTAGTCCTGTTGATTACAATGTACGTTTACAATTATATCAGTCTTTATGTTTAAGAAAATAAAATGGCGTTGAGCATAATATGCTTGATTTTTTTCCCTAGGTTCAAGCAGAAGGTTCCTCTTCCATGGTCAGCAATAACTACTTCACTTGGCGTTCTTGTGATTGTGTTGCTTGTTGGGCACATTTTCCATGCTGCTATAAACCGCATTGCTAAAGTGGAGAATGATTATCGTAAAATGATGGAACTTAAAGTGAGAGCGGAAGCTGCAGATGTAGCAAAGTCTCAGGTAGTCAATGACTACTGAATATTTCCTTTAATTTGTTGCTTGAGTCATAATAGATGGATTTTTTTTGCCGAGTTTTCTGTAATTTCTGCATTATAATCTGTAGTAAAAAAAAGTTAAAAAATGGTGCAACTTCCAATTAGAGGATTTGTATGCAATCCATCGGAACTTCAGCCTTGGGATCAGATTGACAAATTTTGATGAGTTTTAATCAACCAAATTGACTGCTGGCAAAATATTTTTCCATAGTCTCAGGTGTCTGATGTAGACGTTATTTGGATGAGTTGAAGAAAAGTGCTTTTATAATTCTGTCCTTCTTTTCTCCTTTACTCGAGTCCAAATTTTCATTTTTAACTTTTTTTGTTTTTGTATATCACCAGATACATTAAATAAACTTCACATATTGCACAGTTTTTATTCCCTTGTTAATCTTTTTATTGGCTGGTATAACCTTTGTTGGGCTGAGGTGGTTTCCTTGTGTCTCTTGCAGTTTTTAGCCACTGTTTCTCATGAGATCAGGACACCAATGAATGGCGTACTAGGTGCGAAAAGAAAGAATTTAGAATCAGAAACTGGTTGCTTATTTTCTTTTGAGAAAGTATACTATGATTGAATGACTATGGAAAACCGTATTCCATTTGGGTGATGAAATGATGGATGGTGATGATTAGAGACTGGGATCTACCACTGGTCTTCTGTCTTCTTCTGCTCCATCACTGTCCATCAAAATGCAGTCATAACCCCAAAGGGCTATGTTTTTCAATGGTTCATTATATTGTAGAATACTTCCACCTTTAATTCATTCATCTTTTCTAATTATACTCAAAAATAATTCTGCCTACCTGTTCTGATTTTGACTTTCAGGTATGCTGCAAATGCTTATGGACACAAATTTGGATGCCACCCAACAAGATTATGCAGTGACAGCACAAGAAAGTGGAAAAGCTTTGATAGCTTTGATAAATGAGGTCCTAGACCAAGCTAAGATCGAGTCCGGGAAGTTGGAGCTTGAGAATGTTCCATTTGATCTTCGCTCAGTTCTAGATATGGTCGTATCTCTCTTCTCGGAAAAATCTCAGGACAAAGGCATAGAAGTTAGTCACAAATCTTGATTTTTTAATCTGAATGCTTCATGGGTTTCAATTTTGTAAATTTAATTTTGAATGTAAAGATGGTCCATGGGCTTTATTTCTTTTCATTTAATTTTGGCCCTGTATTAGAGGTGAGTTTAATGAACTTTAGTTATGCATATTTATTTTGACTCTATATTGAAGTTGTGATTTTTATGTATAGTTGGCTGTATACATCTCGGATCGAGTGCCTGAAATTCTTATTGGGGATTCCGGGCGCTTCAGCCAAATCATTACAAATCTGGTCGGAAACTCAATAAAGGTTAGCAGTCCCTCTCCCAAACCTTATAATGGAAATGTGAAATCTTGCTATCACCAAAAAGTGTTCTTATTCTTTGTGAAGATTCCAAGATGTTTTGTAGCAGATGGAAATGATTTTTGCGTTTAATTTTTGATTCATTTTGTGCGTATTTGAATGAGGCCCCCCAAAACCTTGTGTGTCTGTCGTGCCCAAATGCATTTGGCTCAAGTGCCTTTTCCATTTGAAACTTACTAGAGGAAAAGTTTTGAATGGACTGCTTGTGAAATTTTGAATGTATTGTTTGTATGCACTGTTAGATATTTTATTTAATCCAATATATATGGAGGGAAGGAGTAGTATCATCGTTTCTCGGCATTCAGCTTTTCTCGACTTTATATCAAGAGCAGCTGCCCCTTGCAAATCTCTTGCAAATCAATTAGGAAGGATACTATTACTAATATCCTCAGGATGTTGTATATTATGAATATTTCATGCGTCATACTTGAGCCTAAAACCCTCAAGGAAGATAGTTGACAAACAATTGTGGTTTGGGACCATTAGGAGTTGTATCTCAATTGGAAGGAATTTTTTGTTGCAATCATAAGTTGTAGGATCAAACTCAGGATATCTATAAATAAAATAATCTTTCATTTTCTGAACCATAACCTACAATTCAGTGGACAATTATTAGCTTACTGGATAATATTTATTGTGGGCTTTAGATCTCTCATGTTGGGAAAATCATGGGTCAGTTGAAGGCTACCCTCTTCTAGTATTGAAGTTTTCTTTACTTGGGGGGGGGGGGGATTTTATCCTATTGACTGGGGAAAACCAGAATCCATTGTTTTCATCACAGTATGTGCAATTATGGAATGTGATGGAGAGAGAGAGGGCGACCACCAGAGCCAGAGCAAGACATGACTGCACTAATGAGTCTCGCACTACTGAGTCTCACACCATCTGCATCACTGTAATCATCTCACTAGACGTTGATGATCCCAATGGATTAACTACCCTAGTAGTTTGGATTATAGTTGCTTGGAACAGGCGGGAGTGGGAGTGATGGGTCTACACATGAACAAGGCTCCCTACTCCAGGAGCACATTCCAAACAATTTTTTTAATTAACAGATAATTAATTAATTTTTATTGGAAGCAAGAAATTTAATAATATCATAAAGTGCAAGAAAATGGGCATGCAATAAAGGAAATAAGAAGTAATTATTTACTAAGTAAACTTTATTTGATTAATAAATAATGCTTTAATATTCTTTGAGATGTAGTTTATGTAACAATCACAAAATACAATAACCATGCCGAGGCACATCGAGATAACCAATAACAATACAAGGTAGCTGTTTTTTATTGATAAAATCTGCTCTATTTAGAATTTCACACTTTCACTACATCCAAGAGCACTACAAATCTGCTTTCTTTCAATTTTATACTTTACAATGTCCAAAACTATTATAGAGAAAGTATGATCGAAACTCACAATTAAAATCCAAATGAATCATCTTCTTGGCTTTTGTTACCCCTTTGAGTGGCTAGGAGCAATCCATAAAAAAGTGGGGATCGAGATCCCATGGAAATGCGTATCCAAGATTATTATCGGGGAGAGTTGGAGTGATATCCAGGGGCTCGAGATACCTAGATTTAGCAATCCCGGTTACTCTAGATTGGATTATAGTCCCTTTTTCCCTTTATGATTGATGCTTTGATATTTAAAATCTGTGTGTGCACGTGCACGCGCACATGTTCGTGTGCGTGTATGAGATATACATCCATATTTGATATTTAAACTCCCTCTCTTTCTCATGTGTGTGTGTGTGATACTTCCATATTTGATGTTTAAACTCCCTCTCGCTCACACATTCATGAATTGGACAATGCAGTTCACGGAAGTTGGGCATATATTTGTTTCTGTACATTTAGTGGAAGAGGTGAAGTGTTCTAGAGACTCGAATGGCGAAGACCCAAAAGAACCTTTAGAGACCCCCATCAAGAATGGAATGAAGGAAACTTATAATACACTAAGTGGGACTTGTGTGGTTAACAGATTGAAAAGTTTTGAGAATTTCAAGTTGTTGAATGGTGGCTCGAATCTTCAATCAACTGAAGCTTCCAATACCATAAATTTACTCGTAACAGTCGAGGACACTGGTGTTGGGATACCCGAAGATGCCCAAAGCCGAATATTTATGCCTTTTGTGCAAGCAGATAGTTCCACCTCTAGAACATATGGAGGAACTGGAATAGGCTTGAGCATAAGCAAACGTTTAGTGGGTCTAATGGGTGGTGAGATAGGCTTTGTTAGTGAGCCCGGAATTGGGAGTACTTTTGCCTTTACAGCTTCCTTCACAAGAGGGCAATCAATCCCTCCAGAGATGAAGAGGCACCAGTCTGACCCTATGACCACTGACTTTAGAGGCAGACATGGGGTTGTGGTGGATGGTAGGAATGTGCGTGCTGAGGTGACCAAATATCATTTGCAAAGGCTCGGGATCCAGGTTGAGGTTGCAACTGACGTGAATACTGCCTTATCTTACATATGTAGACCGCCCAACTCGAGGTTAGTGCATGATACGCTTACATGTATGGATATGTGCATACATACATCCACGTCTACATGCGTGCATATACTTCACTGGTCATTGATGAGCATATATGCCTACATGTAGTATGTATGTACATATACACCTGCATTGATACATGAACAGTGGATAATATGGATCTGCATACATGTGTATATACATGCATGAGTGATGCATACATGTGGGTGAGTATTTATTCATACAGGCATAGATGCACATGTAATTATCGTTGCATTCATACACATATTCATGTGAACTTACATACATGTGTCTGTGCATACATATATGCATACGCATTTTGTACTAAGAGTTGATGAAATTTATATGTACATTTAACTGCATGCATTTATTCTTGCATGGCTATGCTTCAGTACTGAATGACTTCTTTTACGGTTACTTTCTCTACCTCTTAAGAAAATATATATGAGACCCCAATAAACTCTGAAACCTTAAGCGCTTGCCTTGAGAATTAGAATCGTGGTTGAGACTTGAGAGCATAATGAACCCCTAACGGTCTTAATCTCTTACGCAACTTGCAATCGTAACACTTGGCACGAAATTTCAAGACCTTTCTTTAAGTTCATTACTTTGTACTCTATTAAATCAGGTATTTGCCTCTCAGCAGAGACTTTAATGTCTTAAATAATCAATGAACCCGATCCCGAAGCCCTGAACTCAACCTGTAATCAAATTTTATTGCACTCCTGTTAATCTGAATATGAGCTGTGAATTGCCTGAGAGCAAAGCCTTGTTTCGACCTAATTCAGACCATGGCAAATCATTGACCTCTGAGCTCTTTGGAGCAAAGATCCCAGTGTGGGTCATATGTTTCCACTTATGGAACTTTCTCAAACCCGTATTTTTGTTGTAGATCTCTGACCTAAGGTTTCACCCTTGAAGTGACTGCACTTTAAGCATACACTAAACCTTAAATATCTGAAATGACATTCTCCATTCCAATATGCATGAAGGTCCTTGTAAGATAGAAGAAAAAGCATGATAGTATGGTATGCATAGAATAGTTGAGAAAAATTTCAGAAAGAAACATTTCAATGCACAAATGACCCTTCTTACTACAAAACAGTCAGGTTTGTTATATCTTTACCTGTTGGTTGGCCTCCTTGTGATTGTGAAGAAATTTCTGCTATAGCTAAATCATTAGAGAGATGGGATACTGAAGAAGTTTCGTGTATGGCATTTGCCTGTTTCCACACCAATCCTCTCTGATGGGCAGTGGAGATGATCAGTTCCTCTTCTTGTTTGACATTAAACAGAGGTCCTTATCAACTCCACTGCTGTCTGACTTTAGTGATGGATATGGTGCTTTGCCTTAAATTTAGTATACTTTCTTTTCTCTTCTTAACAGGCACTTTTTTAACCCTCTTCTTCTTCCGTTAAGAAACCAGGGTTTCTCACTTTGATTCGTTGTAAAGAAAGCCGCAAATATTAATTAGTGACATTCGACCAAGTTTTTATCTCCTCTTAAGAAAATACCAATGTTCAACTCAATCTAACAAACAACAAGCAAGAATCAAGTTTTCTGTTATTTTTACCCTTTCTGTAAACAAAGAGAGCCAAGTTTTAGATGAGGTTTAATTAACCAAACAAAGAAATGGAAAGACAAGCACCTGTCATTCTTTGGCTCTGATGCTGTTCTCTACATTGTTTCTTTATTTGAACAGTTCCACCAAGCCCGTAGACATGGTGTTGGTTGACAAGGAGGCATGGGGCCCAGGCAGTGGCCTTGCATTTCCCCGCCCCCTCAAAGAGCTGAAACAAAATGGGCGCTCAAATTCCACTATTGCACCGCCAAAAATGTTTCTTTTAGCCAACTCCATGACCAACCCCGAGCTTGAACAGGCCAAGTCGGTAGGCTATGTAGACACAGTTATCATGAAGCCCCTTAGAGTAAGCATGATAGCTGCTTGCCTTCAAGAGGCCTTAGGCATGGGTAAGAAAACCAAGAAGGGCCATGAACTTCAGAGCTTGCTTTGTGACAAGAGAATTTTGGTAGTGGATGATAACGCGGTGAATAGGAAGGTGGCAGCAGGTGCACTGAAGAAGTATGGTGCGATTGTTGAGTGCAAAGATAGTGGGAAGGCAGCACTCAGTATGCTTCACCCACCTCATGAGTTTGATGCATGCTTTATGGATGTTCAGATGCCAGAGATGGACGGGTATGTATCCTGTCTTCTCGTTAAAGTGCCTTGTTTCTTGTTTGGGAGGGTATACCATGAACCATATGCTTCTCTTTTATGTTAATGGTATGTGTTCCATATGATTGGGTCAAGAGTATTGGGCTCATTACCATTCAATCAATGGGTTGGATTGTGATAGTGGGCGAATGGAACCTGCCATAGGGTCATGTCCTGTTTTGGTTGGTGCCTCCGTCTTGGCAATGACATCCCTATCATTGAATGGCGAACACCATCTATTTCATTAGATAGTGATGCCCACAATCCATTAGACTATATTATTATCTCTTCTATCATACACTGTGGAGGTTCTCAAATTTGAATTGGCAATAGGAGTGGTGTTTTCTTAATGATCGTTGTCACTGATACTGATGCATTTCTTTATCAATTAATTATTATATTCAATCCGAATTCTTAGACATTGAGAAACATACAAAGAGTGGCCTTATCTCTGGTAAATTAATAGCAACGTGTATTTTGTACTCTACACAGGTAATGCCATCCACCCATGTTCTTGAGACATATGGTTGAGGTGAACCATTGTATGGGCATTATGTTCATCAGTTTGTACAATGGCTCATATTCATTACAGTATATAGTGTTAGTGTGATTCTTTATTATTCCTTTTCTTATTCTTTTTTGGCATTGATCAATAACGAAATTTCAACTGAAGAAGAGAGAACTAGAATGAAAATTCAGAGAGAGGTTGAGAGGTTTCCAGTTCATTTTCTTCTCTCGCAATTTGTTGGTAAAATGGGAGGAACCAACTGATTTTTACAGGTTCGATGCCACAAGACAAATCCGACTAGTAGAAGAGCAGGTGAATGAGCGTATAAAGTCAGGGGAGGTTTCTGTTGAAGTTTACAGAGGGGTGGCGCATTGGCATGTTCCTATACTCGCCATGACGGCGGATGTCATACAAGCAACACACGAACAGTGCGTGCGTTGTGGAATGGACGACTATGTGTCCAAGCCCTTTGAGCAAGAGCAGCTATACTCAGCTGTCGCCCAATTCTTCGACCCCAAGCCCAACCCAAAACAAAGAAGTAATCACAAGTCTTTGACAGATACCGGAGATAACCACGTGTCGTAGCTCCCATCTCTCCCGCTTCTTTTCCTCTCTCAAAAGTGTACTACTACTGGTTTTCCATGGTTTTCTATGTGGGTTTCCCTCTACCCCTTGGCGGTGATGGCCGAGCTCTTCAACCACACGCCCAAGGATTCTCAGAGGCAAAGAGGTAACCAGGAGACCTCAACGGAACACAAGGATTCTCAGAGGCAAAAAGGTGACCACGATGCCTCATCAGAGCACCGGCCCGAACAGGCAACCCTTCTCACTCTCATTTATCATTTGCCTCAAGTTTGTAACTATTGAATTATTTAAAGCAGCAATCATTGAAGTTTGTGTCAATTTTACTTCAATTTGTTGCTATATTTGTATTATAGAAGTGGCGGCTATTGCGTGTTTCTTCAATCTGTGAATGTTATACAAGTTTGCACAGCCCAACTATGAATTCTCCTTTTGCGTTGATCCACAATCTGAGAGTCCAATAGGGGTCTCAAGAATATAAAATAATGACTATTAGAACCTGGATAGGAGAAAGGGAAATGTCATTGTTTTAGACTTCTGGGAAATTAACGTAAACATTGTTTGGGATATTTAAAAGTTGAGAGCACCGAATATATTCATGTTTTTGACAAAATTTGGTACTATAGAAAGTTAGAAACTAGTGTGGTATATGCTCTTACTGTCAAACATAATAAGGGGATGGGACATGGTATGTAAAAAAATAAATTTGTTCTGCCAAACTTAGTCTAAGGTATGAATATGTTCGGCACTCTTAGTTGAGTAGTATTTTTTGCAAGAACCAAGTTGAATGCATTTCAGACTTATATCAGGCCGAGAGAGAGAGGCATAGAGACTTATATCAGGCAGAGAGAGAGAGAGACAGAGAGGAGAGAGACTTATATCCGACGGAGAGAGACACTTATATAAGGCAAAGAGAGATGATTGAAAGGGTAGTTTAGTTATTGACGTATTAACTTTTTAACTGAGGTTAAAAACATTAAAAAATAATAATTGGATTAAAGGTGTTCTATAAAAAGTATTGAAAAGTTTTCAAAAGAGTATCCATAATTTTCCCTACCTTAAAATTTAAGATGGAAATCATTGTGATCCTATTAAAAGAAGTGGCATGATTAATGTTTTCGGGATGCACGTATTGAAATCCTATGGTTTCTAGTACGGCGCCCAACAATTCTCATACTTCCATAATGCGTTTGTACAATTTTTAATTATAAATTATTAGATTTTTAAAAAATATATATAAAATTATAAAAATAAAAAAGCAATAATTTTGAAAATATTTAAAAATCCGGATGCTAAAAATATTTGTTTTATAATTTATGAAATATGCAGTATTTTGTAATTCTTCGAGGAACAATTGTTTTGTATGGGCTGGACTGTAATTGTACAAGATGGATGCAAATAGGTGGTCCATCTAAAAATAATTGTAACGAACGGTCCAAATGTTTTTTTTAATATAATTAATATTTCTAGTTTTTAAAATTTTTTTATTTATTCATATTCATAATCTCCATGTTAAAGATTATATATTATCTAAAAATAAGATCAAATTATATTTAAAAAATATATTTATTGTCAAGCCTGCATTTGTACATGTGCGGGCTTGGCCTCATGCTAACTACATCTTTTTTTGAGTTAACATGCATTCATATAAAAAAAACAATAAATCTTTATAGGATTATGTTATGCTGTTCATATTATGGAGTAATTTATCTTTGTACTCAACAAATTTTGGATGCTTCTATACCTTTGTTTTGTACATGAGGCATTTTTTTTAATAAGTTTATTTTTGATCATTAGAAGGGGTGTAACATCATCCACATGGGGTATGACATCACCTATATGGAATACACTAGTGGTGTTTAATACTCCATGTGGGTGATGTCACACCCCTCCTAATGACAAAAAGTACCCTTACTAAAAACACGCTCCATACACAAAACAAAGATATTTAAGTATCCAAAATTTGTTGAATACAATAATAAATTACTCCATAAAGTGAATACCCTAATATAACCCTTAATTATATGCATAAAGATATATATAGTAAAAATAATTATATAGACATACATGCACAATAGCCCGTACATTTAGGGCTGGTGATGGGCCAGGCCAGTCCAGACCATAGCCCGGTGTTAGTCTCTAACGGGCAGCTTGGACCTAGTGCATTTGAGGGGAAAAAGGAATAAAAAAACAAAACAGAGGTGGCCGGCTTTGTCATAACCTTGGTCCAGGCCATGGCCCACAATTTGTAGCGGGCCACCGTCCCATTGCCAGCCCTACATACATTAAAGGGCAAAGAACTAAAAGAGTTTCATGCATTAAAGGACATGTATGAACATATGCATATTCTCTAATCATTACTTCATGCCTAATAAATTCATTGTTGGGCATTTATGACATTGGACTTTGGTTATTAGTTACACTACACAAACAGTAATATATATTCCATTATCATTTAAATCTCGATTGGCTTGCTTCGTGGCTTGACTGGTCATGGGTTTAAATCCCACAAATGAACAACTTTTTATATGAAAAATAAAATATGCGACACAATGTGTCTAAATATCAGACATGTTACATAAATTTGTTGACCCGCTATGGGGAATAAAACTCCATCCAACATCAACAGATGGCATGCTTGGGCATGTCATGATCTAGGTGTGAATACGTGTTGACATTTCATACAAGGGAGAAAATGAAGTGTCTGGGTAACACTTGGCAAGATGCCTGCTAGGTATTTGTTATCTATCTCCACAATTGAGAGGTAGATATATGCCTCAAGAATAAAGGGGGTGTTATTTTTGGAGAGAACCTACGCTATGTTTGATAACTTTTTTTTGGAGGTTTTTTTGGGAAAGTCCCAAATGCTGATATTTTTGGAATATAAAAAAAAAAGTGAAAATTGGTAGCCTGAAAGCTGGTAACCTTATTTGATAAACTGTAGTGCTAGTATTTTCACTCGTTTAGTATTGAGAAAGTCAAAAAACCGCTCTTCTTAACCATTCATTATATATAATTTAATTTGTAAAATATGTATTGATTTTTGTTAGAACACGGTTGCGGTTGGAAATGTTGGTAGATGATCTCTTACTTGGAGGGCCATTGTTTGTACTGCGTCATTTGAGATGGCCGGTGGGTAAATGTGATGTGGCTTTGTTTTGGCATTCCAAGTGGGTCTCCATATACAATAGACTATCTGTTGTTGCCATTGAACAATATATGTAGTTGAAAAACATTTTGGGGGACCATTTTATCTCAAGCTCAACAGAGGATATTGCATTTTGGGAATTGGAATCCGATGGTGTTTTTTCAATAAGGTCAGCATATAAGATTTATTTCCATGATCGAATAAGGTGGAATCAACCTTTTTTAAAAGATATATGGAACTAAACAATCCCTCATAAAGTGCAAATTTTTATTTGGATTTTTGCACAAAAGTAAATGTCTAGATAATCTCAAAAAACGAGGTAAGATTATTGTTAATGTTAAGGCACAAAGTAAATGTTTGCCATTTTTTGTAAAAATGATGAGGAGATGCATAATCATTTATTTTTGCATTGTCCTATTACCTCTCAACTTTGGTATCAATCTATGCAAAAAGTGGGGTTTCATATGACTCTTCCATCTTCGGTATGGCATATTGTGAATCACTTGAAGATTTATTGAATTCCAAAAGTTGGTATAATTTGAAATATTGTGCGTGGCTCATTGCTATGGGAGTTATGGTTGGAAAGAAATAGGAAGACCTTTGTTGGTGTGGCAGTGGATTATGCAACTCTTAAAAATAAGATCCTATTTAATACTTGGAATTGATTTAGAATAACTACAAGAAGAACGGGGGATTTCTCGAGCTGATGTAGAAAACAATTTAGATCACTTAATTTCCTTAAGATTTATTAAAGTGAGAACTAGAAGTGTATAGAACCCCCCTTTGGATGGTTGTTTTAAACTAAGTTTTGATGGATCCTCTATAGGAAATCTAGGTAGGGTTGGGGTTGGTGGAGTTTGCAAGGACTCAAATGGAAATATAGTTTTTTGTTTTGCAGCACTGTGTGGAGTGGCCACTGCTAATTCTGCTGAATTGGCAGCAGTCCTACAATGTGGAACGAGAAGAATTTGGGGGACGAGTTGATTGTGGAAGGGGATTCAAAGAATGCTATGCAATGGTAAGTCCATCCCACCGTGGTGTGAGAGATATATTTGGCGGCATATTAAGGAGATAACTGTCGGTAGTTACATAACTTTCAGCCATGTATATAAACAAGCTAATTCTATGGTGGATGATGTAGCAAAGAAATGGGCATTTTTTCATTCTATAGTCGTTTCTCATGTTTTGTTTTAGTACTGCAATGATTGTAATGACTCCTTTGATATAATAATACTCAATACTCTTGTCAAAAGGAAAAAATTAAAATTTTCTTGCTACAACCCATCTCTAATGAAACCTGGATATTAACCTTAGTGAGGCCAACCAAGAATTCAAGCTCAGTTGATCCGCATTATTCATCATTGAGAACAATGGTGTATAACAAACCAATTGGATTATGGCATAGTTTTCCATTTGATGCACATGCAATTTTATCAAATTCTACAAAAACTATTGCTTGGAGAAGTTGGAGATTATAAGTGTTAACCCCAATAAAAATAAAAATAATAATAAAATAAATAAAATAAAATTAACTTACTCGAATCTATCCTTAAATCACATGAGGGACTTAAAGTTCCATGACAAAACCTATAGACCAAGCCATTGATAGGCTACCTTGAGAGTCCTCTTTGGTGAATCTCATTCACCCCTTTTCTTTCATTCTCTCTATTTTCTTTACTTGAGGGATTAACCCATTTTTATAGAGAACCATATTTTGTAACTATCACATTCATGGTCTATAGGAGTTGAGATCCAAGTATAACTCCTGCCTTAATTCCCTTAAGTACAACTAATTAGGATTAACAAGTTGTCACCAAACTGTTAATTTATGCAATGAGCTAAATCGGTCATTAGTGCACTAATGGCTCACATAATAGGATGTCATCCAAGCATTCCTACAATTGGATCAAGATATTTAGAAATTTAATAATTTTGTACATCTATAATAAAAAAATAATTCTTACAAAGAATCAAAACACATCATTGGGTTTTCCCTCCAGTGACACTAGGTTTTCCCTCTAGTGCTACATCCTATAAAAGTTCCAAAATGGATCATAGATATGGCATTGCCTCATGTCAATCACATGAGATTTTACTTATACTATACAATATGACTTTTGTACCATAATTGAAAAATAAATTCTTGGGATAAAAGGGCCCGATAGGCTATATTTCCAACATCTCCCACTTAGCTTGAAGGCCCTTTAACTTCTTGTACATGGTATTGTCTCATGCTTTCTTCATGGATTTCTATATACCTAGCCTG